GCTGTGGGCAGGTTGGAAGGCAGAATGGGGCACCCAGGAAGGGGCGGGCACTGCTGAGGACAAGATAGATCCTCCCAGGACATACTGTGCCCCCTACTTCCCCAAATAGGCCCCACTTCCTGAATGTTCTCCCACCCACCTTCAGCACCCCCCATGGGGACCTTTAGGAGAGACCTAGTGGAAAGTCCTAGGTCACTGAGTGCGTGCCCTCAAAGACGATTGTGGGACCCCCCCACACTCTCTTCCCACACACTCTTCTGCCTCTCTCCCTCTCCCCCCCCACTCCAGTTCAACACAGATCATTTGCTCTCCATGTGCTCTGACCACATGTGCCACCATCTGTCTCCCTTGCCAGAGGCCAAACACATGCCACCTCCTGATCTTGCTCTTTGAACCTCCCAAATGGTGACCTGAAGAAGGCTTTTGTCTCTGTAAGCAAGCTGCCTCGGGTGTTTTGTTGTAGTCATGCAAAGTCAGAGGACCTAAGTGTCAAGGCCTGAGCAAAATACCAACCCTCCACCATCCTGAAGAATGTGGAGGTTAAGATGCAAAGGAACCTCTGCCGGAGGGGACGGAGGATGACTGTCCTCAGAAAGGAGGACCGGCTGTGTGTTAAGTGAGTAGACGGAGAATACTGTTAGTGAAGATGAGCCAAGTTTACTGATGATCAAAAACCTATAAAGAGTTGAGGAGTGGGGGTTTGATCAAGGGGAAGAAGGATGCCCAGAGGGACACAGGGATAACTACTGAGGAAAGAAAGGGGGACGAGTGCTGGGGAGGCTGGTAGCTGGAGGACAGAGGCGAGGTTGGGAGGCTGAAGGTGCGTGAAGTTGGAGGGCGGGTGCAGGGGCAGGGGTGGGTGGGAAAGCCGGCGAGGGAGCGGAGACAAGCAGAGAGCCCACCTCCCTCCATCCAGGAGGGCTCCCCAATCCACCCCAGCGATGCCTTGCTCTTCTCCAAAATATATAATAAAACAGAGTGTCTCCCTCCAGCAGAGGGCGCTCAATGCCAGGAACAGACTGAGAACAGCCTGCTCTTTCCCCTTGACCCTGGGGATGGGCCAACAGAGGCCTCCCCAAGAGCTGAGCATAAACCACCCCCCACCCCGGCCCTGCCCAGCCCTTAAATGCTGGAAAAACCAAGGAGGAGCGCTCAGAAAGTGGGCCCTGGAGCCACGCCCTGCAGGTCCTCTTCCCTTGGACTGCAGGTCCTGAAGAGCTGGGGAGCAAGACAGCTCATCCTCCCCGCCTGGCCCCTCCTTCCTGGGGGTCCACCCTGGGGTTCTCTCAGGGTCCCTTGACGGAACAGAAGCCTAAGGAGAAACTCTTTGAGTACATTCAGCATTTTGCAGATTTGGGGAAAGAGACACAAGATAAAGCTGAAAACATTTGATCCAGGTCAGGGGCATGGCTAGAGGACACAGGGTTCCTGCTGGGCACCCCCCACCCCCACTGCTTCCTGTTGGAGGCTGCGTGGAGAATGAGGTGCCCCAGGATGGGGCGGGGGGGAGTGTGGAACTCTAGCACTAAGTCAGGCTTAGCTGGCAAACACCATCACACGGGGCACCTCCATGTAATCAATTATTTAACCATGAAACTCTAAGCCGTGGGGCTTGCTCCTCCTCAGCTCTCCCAGCGCTCCCCACAAGGTCCCTGCGGGTTATGTGGAGCCCCGTGGGGAGGCTGCATCTCACAGCCTCCACAGACCCCGCTGTTCCTGGTGCTCAGAGCCCCGTGGCCCTCCTGTGGGCACCAGCCCCTCCAAAGCTAAACCTCAACCGAGTGTCAGTGCGTGTGCCTATCTAGTCTCTTGGCCCTTTCCAAAGTATTTTTATGTCCTTTTTCAAAATCCTCATAAAATTAATTATGCTACCTAGTCTTGTATAACACACATTCACGATATTACCAAATCAACAGTTTCCCCAAATCTTAGCTCTAAAATTGAATTATTCGCTTCCAGTGACCCTCATCCTCCCCCGCTTTTCTCCTGGGGCTGTGCTGGGGTAGGCTCTCTCACTTCTTACCAGAGCCCTCCCACTTTCAGGTTCAAGTTGGCTCCCGGTGATGGCCCCAGGGCTCTTTCCTGCACAGCTCTGTCTGCCCCTTTCCTCCCTGGGCCTCAGACCACAGGCCTTCTCCTCTGGCACTTTCCATCCCCCTCCCCCTCCCCCTCCTAAGCCAGGGCTTTCCCACAGACACGCCCCATTTCCTCCAGCCTTTGAGTGTCCGTCCCTCTCCTACTTCAGTGGTGGGGAGACAGCTAGACATACAGTGCAGATATATCCCCTGTATCTTTTCTGTATTCTTTTCCATTATTTCTTATATTCACATTGCTATCAATATCTTATCTAATTATAAGGGTTTTCTATGATTCCTTGCTGTCTACGAGGCCAAGATTTCATTTTTCTCTTATTATAAAATTTTCTGGCCATTCTTAGATATTCTCAGATCATTTTTTCCTAATTTCCGAAAAGAAAATATTTTCCAACCTGTGTCTGCTGAGGACAAATGCCCTTTTTGATAATAAATCCTCCCTTACAAACCAACTGGCCCCAGGCAGCATGGACTCAAAACCTGCTTCTGAGCAAGTTGCGATGTTTCTGACCCCTCATCTGCTCCACAGCACAAACCTGATGCCTCCTTCATAGGTTGCTGTGCAGAGTAGCAGAGTTAGGTGTAAGCTCTTAGAGCAGAGCCTGGACATCGTGTTAGCTGTCATCGCCACGGTGGGTGACTTTAAGCAGCAGATTGCTCTCTTCAGCAGTCAACACCATCTCTGATAGCTCACAGTCCTGCAATCTCTGCAGTCCACCAAAGACCTTGACAATCCCCAGTCTTCATCTCCTAGGACACTGTCTGCAACAGCCTCCTCCAGTTCCTGGCAAGCCTCTGCTCTGCCCACGCCCCATTCATGGCTTGCCCTTTACTAAAGGTCTAGGAAAGCTGAGGATTCAGCTGTGGCTGGTTAGATAACATCATCTACCTTGCAGAGAGGGTAACTCAGGCCCATAGAAGTGAAACCGTTCTCTGAAAGACATCCCTGATCAGTAGAGCTGTCAGGGCTGAGCCCCCCCCCCCCCCCGGTCAATGGGGGAAGGAAGAGATGGGCCTTCTATTCAACTTGGGCTACAGAAACTCGCCAGAGAATGGAGGCTCCCACTCCTGGCACTGCAAGGCCGAGCCACTTCCCAAAGGCTATGTGTGCCACTTACTTTTCCTACACGCTCCAAAATGTGCCTCTGGAGTAAATCACACCCACAAAGTTACGTAGCTGGTCCAATCATTTAACAAGGTGCTAGTGCCTGGATCCATCTCTAGAGACTCCCTGGCCAGTCCCTTGCAGCCTGCCTCCTGCGACTCTTGCCATCCACCATGAGTCACTAAGACACAGCCTATGAGGCCCTTCCAGGCAGCTTTGGTACCTGGGTCCCTGCAATCCTCTTCTCAAATGGGCCCCAGCCTGCTTCTAGTACCTGCCTGAGCTCCTGCTGGGTCTGTCCTGCAGACAGTGGCCCTTTCAGCTGTGAAGGACACCCCTTGCCAGGGTAGGGCAGCATGTGCGCACACACGCCTCTGTTGGCATGGATAGGAACCTGTGCCTCTGAGGTGTTGGAGGACATTGGTGTGGTCTGGGAATTGGAGACGGACTGTGGCTCTGGGGTCTCCACTTTCTCTCATCGCAGGCCTTTACACATTAGGGTGAGATGTCTCATCCCCCTCTTTGGGCAGATGTGATTCCACTGGACCACAGAGGCAGCTCCCAGCACTGTGGCTACTGAGAGGACCCAGGACGCTCCCTCTAAGCTGACTTGGGATTTTCTGGATTTCTTCTCAAGGCCTCATTTATTTCTTGTGTCACTGGTCGCTGTAAATGTTGGAACTGGCAAAATTAGTGCTCTCAGAGCTCCTGAAGTTTCCAGGCCCAGGGCAGACACTTGGTGCCGACCCACTTGGGTCTCGGGATTCCCCCTTTTATTTTCCTTTCACCCGATGAGTCTTTCTTTATGAAACCTTGGAATCAGGTACATACTTTTGTAAGTCACTCATTTCCTGTTTGGATAAGTTTGGACAGAAATCAAAAAGGGAGGGAAGGAAAAGAGGAGGAAGGGGGAAAACAGAGAAAACGACTTCGACCCTATGATGGCCCGGGGAACCCGAGGCAAGCACCTCACACAGTTCTCGGGAGCAGCGATGCCAGCGATGTGTCGGTTAACAGGCGGCTGCAAGAGCAAGTCCCGGCCCTGAGCCGCACCCTTGGCCTTGGCTGAGGGTAGAAGGAAGCACTGGGGTTTTCTCTCCTGGTTCCCTAGCAGCTCCTCTGCTGAAGGGTGGGTTCAAGTCAGTGTGATTCAGTCACCCACCTTTAATGCACCCAGGCAGCACGAGGGTTTTCCACGGTACAGAAGAAGGAAGCCCTGCGACAGAGGGACCCCACCTGAACCTCAGGTGCCCCACTGACTCCCAGTATCAATCGGATGTCCACAGCAGGTTCCTGGGGGCCTCTGGCCTCTCTGGGACGTGTTCTATAAATTTCTGACATTTGCGGGCTGGGGTCGTGGCTCAGTGGTAGCACCCTCGTCTGGCATGTGTGACGCACTGGGTTTGATCCTCAGCACCACATAAAAATAAATGAATAAAATAAAGGTCGCCTGGACATGGCCACCGTGATGTGGACCGAGTGTCAAGATGAGATGACCTACGTTTTGATGTTGCACTTGTCCATCTACAACTAAAAAAATATTTCTAAAACATGCTACTTATAAAAAAAAAAAAAAAAAATTCTGACATTCGGCTTCCGTGCACCCCACAGGATATAGTTTTGCTTGGGATTAGACCTTATCCTATGGCCTGGACACGGCGACCGTGACGTGGTCCAAGAGCTCCTTAACTGGTATAGTCACCAAAACCAAGCCAAGCCAGAGCCTCTGTGAATATCCAGGGGAGAAGCATTTTTGGAGACCAAGCAGCCACCTCCTGAGCACCCCAACACAGACACACCCCTGAAACAACCACATTTTGCTTTATTAGGTGTTCCATGGTAATATAACACAGAGTTCTTAAGGAATAATAAACACGAGACTTGTCTTTTACCATAATTATTTTGCCATTAAGACAGTGGTTACAAAAAAAAAACAAACAAAAACAAAAACAAAAGTCTCTTCTGGTTACACACATGATCAGCTTTAGCACTGAAAGGTCCTCCACTCAGGGGTCACAATCACAATCGCAAGGATTAAAAACCATCTATTATTAAGTCCTACACTGTTTTAGAGCATCAAGTCACTGCAGTTACTCAGTTCTGAGACACTGTCGATTTATTTTAGCATTTACATATGACATGTGTTTAACAGACACACACAGCAAGCCAACAGGTAAACATGCTTATACAGCCTGTGGAAACCTTCAGATTTTAAACTGTTTTTCTTTTCTTTTCTTTTCTTTTCTTTTTTTAAGAAAACAATCAAAACAACCAAAATTACCATGACCTGGTACAGGAAAAACAGGAAGACAAGTGAATACTGACGAGCTGCTTGTGTTTCTTAGAATTGAAACAAAAATGTTTTCCAACTTGTTCAAATTTCCTCTAAGTGAAGGTAAGAAAGAAAAAAAAAGAAAGAAACAAATATATTAAGTCAACCAATTAATTTTTCAAAAGTGCAATTCACCTTTAAAATAACAAATAAACAACAACGACGACAAACCAAAACCCCGACCATAACCCCGAAGGCAAAACGTGTGGATAGACAAGCGTCAAGATGTGATGATCTACGTTTTGATGTTGCACTTGACAAAAGCAGATTTGGTTTCATAGAAGCCTGCAGACCTGACATTGCTTACAAGGACCTGGAAACAGGTTTGGAAAGAAATGCGACACAAGTCAGCAGGGACAGAAAGCAGCCAGCTAGCGTAGGGGGGGTCTCTGAGCCAAGGGAAGGGAGGAGTGTGAGACACGAGGCCACCGTGGTCTAAGTGGGCCACATGCTGGACTTGAAAGGTTTTCTCCCACAACAGCCCTGATGTGACAGACAATACATACAACATTTTTCTTTCCTCTTGCAAAGTGAACAGGTCTTTAAGTCAAAGTTCCAAGGGATTTTCTGGGTTGATAAGTTCTCCCTATGTTGCATTACTTCTTTTGAAATAATTGAACCGGGAAAAAAAAAATGGTGTTTTCCCCCTAAGTGAAAAGGCCCAATATAGTCTAGAAACTTTCCAGGAGAAAAAAGAGCTGACCCTCAGGGCCAGACTCCCATGGGCAAGGCCCCTCTAAGGTGGTAGATGGCTTGCGGCTGGCTGGTTCACTGGGTTACTGGGTTGGATTTATGGATTGGGCCAGTTAGCTCTGCATTTTTCTCCAATGCTCAACTCTGTGTGGCTCCATACTGGGCCCGCCCTGGACAGCGTGGGTGAGAACCCACCCTATCCCTGCACCTGGCAAGAGTCTCAAAGTCAGACACACCTCCTCGTGACGGTGGGCGGATAGCACCACTCTTCCAGGACCAGGATAACATGTACAATGGTCACAAGGGCAAAGCTCAAGTCCTGCTGGACAGGTTCTGGCCTCAGTAAAACTGTTACCCTGGCAATCGGAAAAGACGACGGGGACGGGGGGAAAATACCATCTCAGAGACAAGGGCCAGAGGAAACATGGAGAAAGAGCCAGATATCTGAAGGTACTCATGACTGACAACACGAGAGAGAGAGAGAGAGAGAGAGAGAGAGAGAGAGCAGAAAAATGGCAAAGAGAATCCTCAAAAGATCTAATCTGCTGCAAAATCTAGGCCAAAAAAGAAAACTTGCCCTTTCTCAACAGTTGACCCAGAAGATTACAGAATGGCGATGTGGACACTTTGGAGCCTCTCAGGAGGGACAAAGCGAGTCTGCCAACCACCCTGAGTCAGCATGATGGTTATATAATTGCATCATTAGGATGTCCAGTTCAAACCCTGTGTGTTAATATTGAATCAGACTTTCCAATTCAGTATTAAAAAAAAAAAAAAAACGAACAAAACTCTAGCCCACCCCCATCCCTCCCCAGCTCCACAAAAAAAAAAAAAAAAAAACTTTTTAAAAAATTTAAAAAGAAAAGAAAAAAAGGCGGCTCTGGGCAATTCACTGTATCTCCCCCCATGACAAGGAAAGATGCTGACAAGCACAGGGGGGCGCAGTGGAGGGCGCCCTCACTGGGGTTTGCTTTGTAGCACGTCTGAGTGTTGGGTGCAGCTCCGTGTGGGGACGGGTGGCTAGGCTTGGGTGTGGTACTCATGTACAGGGAAGTAGGTGACAAATTCATAACTCCAAGTGAGAGACGGAGTGCAGGGCCCAAGAGGGAGCCCCATGAACTGGCTGCCCACAGCAACTATCACAGGCTCTTTAAAAAAAAAAAAAAGAAGAAGAAGAAGAAGAAGGAGAAGGAAGGAAGTCTCAGAATGTCCTCAGGTGTCCCATCCCCCATTCCCAAGTGGCCTGCAGGCCAGAGCTCTAGCCCAGGCTGGTGATGTTGGCACGGCCACCAGGGGGCGCCACGATGCGCTGGGTGGTACGGCGGGGGATGTTGTCATCAATCTGAGCACCTGGAGGGAAGGGGAGAGAAGACAGGGGTGAGGGGACACAGCAGTAAAACAGCCTCCTGCTTTAAACCCAAAAAGCAGTCTGGAAGGGGTGCCGGGCACAGCCTTCTCCATTTTTTTTTAAAAACATGAGCTCAAACCCCAAAACAGAGATGGACCAAAGTCAGCCCAAGAATTACATCCAGGACAAGCAGTCCTTGTGGGGGCCCGGCTGGATCCATTAGTGGGGAAGTAAAACCACAAACAAGACCCCGACATTTCACCCTGCAGCCTGTCCTGGTTCCTAGCGGGGGCAGCTTTCCTGAGGACACAGCAATCTCCCCCTCTGGTATCGTGTTTCCTAGTCCTACGCACGCAATGAGAAGCAGGAACACAGGAGCATCCCTGATCCGAAATCCCAAATCTGAAACACTCCCAAATCTGAAACGTTTTGAAAGTCCATGTGACCTCACTAGTGGACAGTTAGTTCCCCAGCTGACCTCATGTTGGGGCTGCAGTCAGAACACATGCACTCTAAAATAGCATATAAAATTTCCTTCTGATCATGGATGGTACATACAAAACATGAGTGAACTTCATGTTTAAACTCAGGGCCAATCCCGCCCCCCCCCCCAAAAAAAAACCTGAAATATGAAACACTTCTCATTCCAAGTACTTGGGATGAGGGACCCTTTACCTGCACTTTTATATGACTGCATGACAAAAATAAGGTTCACTCTTTTTGAACTTTTTGAAAATGTAAAATCTATGTATGGCCTATATGGCAATTTTCTAGAAAAAAAAAATAGGAGACTTGACAAGAAAAACATCTAATGAGTTATTTCTTTTCTTTAACACATCACAGGACTCTGGAGGAAAGCTCAGGTCATGGGCCCAATGAAAGAGGGGAAGGAAGTTTCAAGGAAGGAAACCTTAAAATCTAGACCTTTCCTCTCACCAAGGAAATCACATATTTTATCCCAGCAAATAGCTAACCGTTCTCCAATGGCTCTGATCTAAGCATTTTGGTTGAACGTCAAGTCAACTGATCCTCACAATTCCATAAGGGAGCTGCTACCATAGTCCCCATTCCACAGAAGAGGAGACTGAGGCACACGTGGAGCTGGGTTATCGAGTTTGCTCCAGACTCCGGGACTACTCCAGCCCTGAAATATCAGCGTCCTTCCTGAGGATGGATGCAACAAACTAAACAAATGTCCTTGCAATCTATTAGATCCTGGATCTAGGAGGGGCCTGGTAGTGCCACATGTGGCATAAACTAATGTGGAGATTCTGAAATCAACTGGTCACTGACTATAAAGATGCATCTCTGGTGACAGGAGTATGTCCCACCTCCAAATGCAACTGCAACCTCTGCGGAGCTGGCCAGCAGAGGGGCCCCTGGGCAAGCCGGGAACCTACCAGACAAGCTGAATCCAGACTGGTGCAGGTTCCGGACAGGTGGGGCCTGCTGTTTGGCGGGAGATGTCTTGGCTGAGGAGGCTGGAGTGACCGTCTTGGGCGTCACGGACACCTCGCACACAGGTCCGTCATACAGGCCGCGAGGGACTCCTCTTAACTCTGCCAGCTGCAAAACACAAGAGCCCCTCTGCTCAGGCCACATCCACAGAGGACACCTCCCCTGCTGGGAAGGAACATGGCCTGGAGCCTAGGCGTGAGGAGATGGAGGACTTTCCTTACAGACGGGGACAACAGGGACTCCTGGGGCGGAGGACCCCGCAGCTCCAGGCCTTTCTTCCCAAGGCACCTCAACCTTAGACCCTGGAAGAATCCCCTAAACTTACAGTGTCATGTTCGAGATCTGCCCCAAGCTCTTTCCAATCTCACACTTCCTGTAATTCTCATAGGGCTCCATCCTTCCCTGCCTCCCAGTCCCCAAGCACCAGCTGTGCCCCAGACACGGTAGGCTTCCAGGCTCCTGACAGTCTCCCTCTCCAGTTCCCGCACCTCCCTTCTCTGACTTGATAAACTCCTACTTCACTCTCAAAACCCAACTTGAAACGGCCCCTCCCAGGACGCCTTCCGTCCTCTGGGCTCACGGCAGGCTCCTCGCCATAGCACGCACTGCAGATCACAGGGCGGGCACACATGGCCCTGGCTGGCTCTGAGCAGGCTTCTCCACCTGGACCTCAAGCACCAGGAATAAGAAGATCAGGTCTCCTTATCCCCACGTCCCTCTGGGCTCGTCCCAGTATTCTGACCTCAGTGCTTCATAAATGTCGGTAGAACTGAACTTGATCCACGACTTAAAAAAAAAAAAAGAAAAAGAAAGAAATTCCTAAGAACAAAAGCACTTACCCTGCTCCTTGCCTTGATGCGCTTGTAAACAAAGTCAGGGAAGGGCTTCCGGGGAACATAGCGCCCTGAGCCCTCGGTGACGTGGAGAGTGCCGTCCTCCAGGACGATCTTCCCCTGGCTGATGACCACCAGAGGAGAGCCACGGCACTCCATGCCCTCGAAGATGTTGTACTCCAGAGACTGGAAGAGGGGAGCACAGGAAGTTCAGAGCAGGCCCCGCCCCTTGCCCCTGCCAGAGTCGGGGCACGTAAGGTCTCTTGCCACCTTCCCCGGCCGGGCAGCCCCACCTCTCACTGACCCTCTAGGCCCAGGCTGGCCTGCGTGGCCCAGCATTTTGACAGGCGTCTCCTATGAGACTTCTCCTGTTGGCTCTCCTCCATCATCAACCAAGGGACTCTCTTACCACCAATGGCATCTCAGCCACAGTAACATCCAGGAGCTGTGACTCTAGGCTAGGTCACTTTAACCCTGTCTCAGAGCTTTGGTTTCTTCATCTGTCACCCTCCCAAGTCTTCAGTGACAATGACAACACAAAAGGTTTCATCCCTGTGTAGTTCGTCAGAGAAACTTGTCATTTGTGAGACGCCCTTTAGAAGGTGTGTGTCGTCCTGGGTCAAGCCATCCACGTTATTCCACAACTCCTTGTCTAATGCCTCTGCTTGAACCTTCCAGACAGAGACGTGGACATAAGGCCATCTTCCTGGGTCCCCACCCCAGGTCTGCCATTTGCCAGCTGTGTGACCCTGGACAAGTCCCTGACACCCTTCCTCATCCACAAATGGCTAAGACCCACTTCAAAGGACAGAGGCCAAGAGCAAATGAAATAAAAGCAGCTATCTGGGGCTTGGCACCGAGGGACATTTGGCTCTTACTGTGCTTTGCCTACCAGGGTGTGAGCCCTTTGGCATCCAAGGCCTCATGTGACACTTGTACTAAGCCTTGTCACCTAGGAATGAGCCCCTGGAAGGGCTCTGGGGACATCTCACTTTCAAATGATAGAGGGAGGGACCAGCCTCACGGCTCAAAGTACCTTAAAACTGAAGCATCCCGGGGTGGGTCACAGCACTGGGCACTCAGCCCTTCAGGCACCTGTAGGCAGGGGCTCCGATACGCGATATCCACACAGCTCCCCCAAACCCACGCTCATTGCTCCGTGGTAGGAGACACACAGAGTGACACAGGATAAACCTCCTGCTGTGACTAATGACACACAGCATGCCGAGTGCCGGGGCTGTGAGGCAGGTGAGGGCAGAAAAGAGGTGATCTGAAAGTCGCTGTTTCCCCACAGGGTCACCTGCAGGAAAGGCAGGGCAGTGCTGACCCTCTAAAAGGTCTGAGTGGGAACGGAGGGAGCCCAGCCTCTGTCCTCCTGAGGCTCATCCTCCATGGTCCAGACGGAGCATGCCAGAGGCGAGTCCCCAGGTCATCTGCACCTCAAGCCAGGACCCTGTCTGCTCTTTTCGTTGCCTCTGGGGGAGGGACTGTGCGAGGGAGGGAAGCACTGTCTCCATCAACCCTGACAGCGGGCTGTGTGCTCAGCCTGCAGTGAAGGGCCCTGGACGAAGTTCAGTTCCAATTCTGGCTCAACAGCAAAATCACTGTGTGACAGTAGACCAGTTACTTCAACTCTCAATGCCTGCATTTATTTATCTTCCCACGTGGGGTGAGAAAACGCCCTCTACTGGGTGTTACATGACAGAGCAGGCAGGAATGCCAAGTTAGGTGCCCCAGGATAGGTAGGTTCCCCAGAGGGGAGTCACTCAGCACCCAGATGGGATGGAGGCTGGAAGTGGGCCAGCCAACGGGGACAGAGGGAAGGAAAGGCAGCCCCACACATGGACTGGAGCCCGCCTTGCCGCAGCCCCAGAACCTCTGTCCAAGTGAGGGGTTTGGATCCAGCAAAGGGCCCCAGCCTGTCCTAGAGAGATGCCAGAATCCCATCCCCATGACGCGGGGCACTCGGGTGGGGTCCGTGCTGGCTAGACCAACTAGAACCAGTCCACTGTGAGCCAACAGCTCTCCACCTAGAACTGCACCCAGAACCTCCTCTTGTTTCGTTGAGGAAGCATTTCAAGATTCAAGTGAGGTCCTGACAAAACACTTTGGCAGAAGGCACCCTTCTTTTCCACAGCTCACCTGGTCCATGTTCTTTCGATTTTACACATAGATGATTTTTACAGAGGAACTGTGCTCCTGCCCACTGCCCCACAGCATCACAGGACACACAGACCTCAGCTGCCGAGACCGAGACCTTTAAAGACAGCACATTCCCAAGCTCGAGAGCCTAACTGAGAGGCGAGAGCTCCCCACACCTGCAGGTCCTAACCACCATCCAATGGCTGCACGTATTTCTTCTCTTTGGGGCGAAGTCAAGGTTGATCAATTCACTTAGGACAGTAAAACCAGCTGTCATTTTCTGTCAGGTTCCTGGGTAACACCACCCCGACAGAAAACAATGACATGTGAAAATTCAAGTGCCTGGTGACTCTCAGGACTGTACCGTGACTGCTCTAGTCAGGTCCCTTGCACCAAGCACCAGCAAAAGAGGTGCACCACCAAACCACGATGGTGGAATGACGCCCAACTTCTAGAAGCTTCTGAATACCCAATGTCACCTTGGGGATGCTGAAGGTAAAGCCACGGCACCCTAAAATGTGGGTGAGAGTAACATTCTTAATGACTTCACTGAAGAAAGTGAAATGGCTTTTTTCTTTTTGTTTGCTCCCTCAACAAATTTCAAGTTATCACACATCCTGGGGAAAATTCATTCCCAGCACAGCAAGTTCTCTTTACAGCCCCTGGGCCTCTCCCTTCCTCTGCCCCTTGTGTGCCTGTGATCCATGTGGATGAGGTGTGCGAGCTAACAGGCTTACACTGTTATGTGTCTTCGCAGAGATGGTTTTGATGCTGTCAGGGTCCCAGATGACCAGATCGGCATCAGATCCCACAGCAATGCGGCCTTTCCGGGGGTAAAGGTTAAAGACTTTGGCTGCATTGGTGCTGGTTACAGCCACAAACTGGTTCTCGTCCATCTTCCCAGTGACCTGAGGGCCAGAGCACACATGACAGCAGGTCAGAGAGCTGCAAGGTGGGATGCTACCCAGCACAGAGAAGGGACATGCCATTGGAACAAAAGAGAGGTGCAGCTGGGTGGTACACGCCTGTAATCCCAACGGCTCCGGAAGGTGAGGCAGGAGGATTGCGAGTTCAAAGCCAGCCTCTCAGCAAACAGTGAGGCACTGAGCAACTCAGTGAGATCCTCTCTCTAAATAAAATATAAAATAGGGCTGGGGATGTGGCTCAGTAGCCAAGTGCCCCTGAGTTCAATACCAGGTACCAAAAAAAAAAAAAGAGAGAGAGGCATAGATATCACCTCGCATCCACTCTAACTGCAGGGCTCAGCTCTGCCTCTGGCTCCACAGTATACAGCAGGCACCAATCACATTAGCTCAAGTCCTTTCCTTCCCAAATCGGTTCTAAATTCAGTACAACGATGGGCACAGGAAATGAGCATGCAGCAAGAGAGAGTAAAAAAGGTACAAATGGCCAAAAAGCACACAAAAGTATATTCACTCTAATCAGTAGCTGAAGAAATTAAAGGTCAAACAATGAGACTTAACATTCACCTATCAAATCAGTACTACTTTGGGCTTTTGGCTCATAATACCCATTTGGACATGGAGAAAACACTGGGGGATGTCACACATTACTGGTTGCATATAAAGGGGTTCAATCTTCCTAGAAGGAATGCTAACAGTAATATGTATCAACAGCCTTAAAAATGCACACACCCTTTTCCCTAGTGATGCCTACAAACATTATTAAGGATGTGTCCAAGGATGTGTCTACATGGACGCCCATCCAGGTAAAAAATATCAGAAACAACAGAAATGTTCGAAGCATTGCCAGTGAATCACCATTTAGCACCAGATGGAAAAGTCTGCTATCAAAAACCAAGTGCATTTAAGGATGTGGAAACTTTTTCATGGTATATTAAAACTGCCTAAAAAACAGATCTCAAAATACTATGCATGATGCTAATGTTATTGACACACTCTCACATAACATACGTACCTGTGCACTTAAGCACTCCTTAAAAATGGAAAGGCACTTGCTAGCATGCTCCCTGTAGTTGGGTCTGAAACAAGGTGATTTTTATTTACATAATCTAAAAATTCATCAAGAAACAGAAAACCTGTTGCTGTTACATTTTAAAACATTAAAATGAAACAGACCAAAGATTCCCCAAAGCTCAGTGCCTGTTCAAACTGGGCATTCCAGAAGCCTGAGGTGGGATAGAAATGCTAAATCCAGACAGCCTTCAGAGAGTCCATTTCCAACAGGACAAGAGCTAGCTGATTAAGTCACCAGGTGGCTGAGGAAGTTCTCTCCTGACGGGCACAGAAGTCACATATAAAGACTACATGTTTTCAGGCTCCACTGTCCCAGAGATGATGATAAGGAACGTGTAATATTTAAGGTGAAATGACCTTTCAGGAGTAGTCATGGAGACTACTCCTACTTATGTAGGAGACTGCCACACAAGTACCAGCTTCTAGAATGTTCTCAACCAGCATCTCAAGTCCATGCCTGCAGATGAGGAAGCAGGGGAGCACCAAGGCGCACCATGAGTGAGACCCTTGGTCCTTACCACAGCCTTGTCCCAGATGACGGACATCCGCTCCTCCGTGCCGTTGGTGCCCTCGGGAATCAGGGTGAAGTTGTCCTTTCCTACGGCTTTCTGGGCAGTGTTGAAAGTGCAGTGGGCACTGCCAGTGACCTGGAGGTCTCCACTGGAAGGAAACATATAATAGGATAACACTGTGCCCAATCTGTCCTATGAAAAATCTGGGGGAACTCGTGGTACCAGAGAATCAGAACACCCAGGGCTCAGTCCAACAACACTAAAGAGTATGGAGGCCACCTTCACTAGGGGACACTCGCCAGCAGCCCACCAGCACTCTCCTCAGGCCTCCAAGGAGATGCCATCCTTGATGCACAGGTGAGACAACTTGTGGTCAGGGAGGTCAAGTCCTGCAGCCAAAGAGGGGTCTTCAGACACCAACTCATGCCCCATGGCTGACTGTCACGATGGCCCAGCTTTTTATCAGGAACACCCTCCAGGGACAGTGACACAATGACAATTCCTTGTTCGCATCTATCAACCCCAGTTTGGTGCATAAGGGTCTATTTCCAAGCCTGCTCTGGGCCACCGCATGGTCACCTGTCAGGTCAGCTTGGTCTGAGGAGTCAGAGATTGTGGAGTGTGAGCAGGTGGCCAGGACTCACCAGGAGAGCAGGGAGTTGAGAAAGTCTGGAGTGGTTGGATCTGGGCTCAGGGGTGGGGAGGTGACAAAGGCAGCGGCCTTGGCCCAGTTCTTGCTCCAGTAGTGAGAGCCGTCAGTCCCCAAGCTGGCGGTGATGGGCTCGCCGTACACCACAGTTCCTGAGGGTCAGAACACATGTGGCTCAGTCACACAGGAGGAGGAGTGGGGGCCACCTTCACTGGGGGACACTGGCAGCCACCACTGCTCTCACCAGCCCTGTGAAGGAGATGGCAGCCTTGTCACAGGTGAGGCAATGCATGCTTGGGAGGCCACGTCCTTCATCTGGCCAAAGCCACCTATAGGGCATGTGCTCCCGGAAATTTCCTGTGAACCCCCCTGTGAAGCCTGTGCATTGTCCCTTGGTGGTCCTAAACAGCTTCTGCCTCCCACGCCTGCTCCCAAGCTCCAGGAACAATCTCCAGCTTACTTGGCTTCAAGCACCCCACCCCAAGTGCCACCTAGGCTCTTCTTGGATGCACTCCAACGGGCCCTTGGGGCTCAGAAAGCGCCCTCTCCACTCACACATGCCAGTGCCCTGCCCTAACTGGTTCTGTTGCAAGGCCAGCGAGAGGAAATCACCCAGGACAGAACAAGCCGAAGCCCTGGACAGCAAACACACCACCTCCAGACCTCCCGAGAGGAAGCCTGGACCCGGGTGGCCACGTGAGGGGAGCTGCCCGTGTCAGCTGCCACACCCATGGCCTTTGGTGGAGTGGCCACAGCCACACTAGCGAGGTCTCAGAGCTTCCAAAGCCTTGGCGAATTTGCTACAATGTCCAAGAAAGAACACCAGCTCCTGCTGCCCAAATCTTGTCCCCAACTCTGTCAATGCAGAGCCAGCCAGGTTTGGGGAGTCATTTATATACACGGGAGGGCAAACTGTGAGTGCCCTAAGCACAAAAATTTTAAAAATTAAAAAATAAAAGTAAAAATAAAATAAAAACCACTCCTCACTGAAACATCTACTGCCCTCACTATCCAAAGATCTCCTCTTTGACATCATGCCAAGAACAACTCGGCCTCACACCATCTGCCCCAGAATCCCATCCTCCGCTCCACTGAATGCCCAGTTTTGAACTTTTTTGACTCCTCTCAATGGAGACGCATTGAAGGCAATTTATTCATCTGCACAGAGTAGGCACTCAAGAACTACACGTTAGATGGATCAAACGGCCCAATCATGTATTAATTAAAGGCATCAGAGCCGGAATTTGAGCTCAGCCAGCCACATCCACCTCTCCTACCGCAGGGTTCACCCCCACCCACATCGTCCAGCCTAGATTCCCTTCTCCCCAAACACAGGGCCCTCGGGGCCAAACCCGGCCCAGTCAGGAATGTGCTTCCCTTCCCCTCCACAGCTTCCAAAGCCTTATCACCAGATAATATTCCACAACACCCTCTTTGCCCGCCACTCAGAGCTGGCTCGGAGGAGCTGCCCCCTCCTGCCTCAGGAATTCCACAAAGAAGTCCCTGTTCAGCCAGGGAGTGGTGGAGGTCCCAGAAGGCCGCTGTCTCCGGGCAATCAGTCACAATCCCAAGCAGGAGGAGGGACTCCAGGACCAGGGGGCCTGCCCAGAAGAAAGCCCCCAGGAAGAAGAGTGCCACTCAGGATGACTGGAAGGGACCCTGCCTTCCTGATCCACTCAAAGACTCCCCCAGAAGCTGGTGCAGACAGCCCACTCAGCTCAACCCAAAGCAGAAAAACAGCATATGTGACAAGGACTTGTTACAGCCAAGGTCCTTCCCCAGATGCCAACAGCTGACCAGGACCCAGGGGCAGCCTCTCACAGGACCTCAGCTCCCAGCTTTGGGGTGGTGCATCCAAAAGATCTTGTTAAGTCTAACTTGATCCAGTTCAGTCCAACCCATCTGGTTAAGTCTCACTCTCCCGGCCCACCCAGGTCTGGAGGTCCCACCTACTGCTGCCTGCCTGTCTGAGCACAAAGGTGAGATCTGTGTAAGCCCTAGGAACACCAAGGATTCACAGTCCTAAAGGTCTTCTGGTTCTATCCCCACGGCTGTGAAAAAGTTCATGAGAGAAAGGTGCTTGGAGTAATAAAAACCAACCAAACAACCAGTAAAATCCCATAGTCGGAGGGCCTGGGGGTCCCTGAACCAATGCCCACATTTCCCGGGTTCCACGTGACTTGCCATGACTCATCCTCTCACTGAATCTGCTCCTCAGTCCTGCCCTTGGAAACTGAGCACCAGGAGGGCATGGTGCTAGGAGGGCTGGCTTCATCTCTCCCTGTGAAATACCACTCAGATTGGGGTAGGGAGCTGCTCAAAGGTCTCTTCCTTCAGCACCCAGGACACCCACCCCTCAAGAGAACAAACTCAGCCTTCAGCCTCTGGAAACCCCTTAACTTGATGGGTTGGGGCTTCCAAGGCCACTGCTGACCAGAACCTCCCTGCTTAGTCCAAGGATAAGCAAGGACTCCTGTACCTGAGCCAAACCAAGATGGCAGCATGCATGGACAAGAAAGGGGGCACTAAGAGAAAAGGGGAGCCTCTTGAGGGTCATTTTTGCTTTGTTCTGTTATAATTCACTGAGGGATTCAGAGGTTCTTGCTGTCTTTGGACTTTATTTCTGTTCTTCAGTTCCAAAGGCAGGGCAGGGATTAACTACCAGTCCAAGGCCTCCACCTCCAGGCAGCGTGGGTCTACAGAATGAGGCTCTCCCCAGTGGCCTGATCACCAGTGGCCTGGTGCCTCCCCCAGGGCTTCTCTCCCCATCTATAAACAGCGTGCATGAGGAGCCCTGAATGAGCTTCCGGAGCTCAGTCAGGCCACAGACACCAGTGAGCTTGCGTGCCAGAAATAATTGCCACTCATAATAATAAACCACAGAATGGCTTAATTGGCCTTTCTGCACTTCTCTAAACACACTGCTGACGCTTTCTTGGCGGCCCTTGGAGCTTCATGATTTTCTTCTCCAGGGAAAGTCTAAACTGAAGGATGTGACCCCAAGCCAGCCTCTGGCAGACTCCCTCGTAACCCTGGGAAATGCAGGGACTCACAGGGGACACACGGGTGATGTTTATTCACAACCAGCCTGGGGCCAGGGTGCATTCGTGAGGAATAAATGCAAGGTTGGGGTTTAAAAATGTTTGACAGCTCCTGGCTCCTACAGTTCGTCATTTCCCATGAATGAGAAGCAGGAGGACAAATCCAAAGTAGGAACAAAGGAAGATCACGTGTGTGTATAACTCAGAATGCAGCACAAGAGAGACAGAAAAGAGCCTGGGACAGAAAAACAGTGGGACAGGCACACACCACACACACACATACACACACACCAGACTTGCTCTTTCAGAGAACCCATGCCGCGCCCATCAGCCTTGGGACTGTGCTATCAGATTTTGGTACTAAGAGTGGTTCTAGGGAAACAAAAATCTCAAGACTGAGTTTTAGGATTGCTTCTGAGGTTGTTGGAATTGGTTTTCTAATCCGATTCAATTTAAAAGCCTTAAGGTTTCTATTTCCAGTAAAGACAGCCCTTGCAGTCGATGGCACAATGGGGCGATAGATACACAAAATCCGACTCCTGATGCTCCCTATCAACACTTCTAAGAGGCAAGATTCTGGGCGACACTGTAGAACGTTTTTGTCAAACTGACAAAATGTCATGAGACTGACTGTTGCTCTTAATGGTGCTGGAACCAAGTGGGGAAAGAAAACAATGGATCCAGGGGTTCGAATTCCCACATCAAGCCCCACATAAATGGCCTGAAAGAGACTCTTAAGTCTCACAGATGCAGAAGTGAGATGGCTGAAAATCAAAAGCAGGATCCAGCTGAATTATAATGCAAACTGAATTCTCGCCAAAAGGGCACGAGTTGTTCAAAGGAGAGAGTGTTGACCCAGAAGGGCTCGTCTCTGGACAGCCTGTGGACTCAGGTGAAAACCTCCTCCTCCCTGGGGTCTCCAGCCTGCTAGCCCACCCTGCAGGCTTCAGACTTGCCAGCCCCACACTTGCATGAGCCAATTCCTTAAAATAGATCTGTCTCCATCCCCCACCCCCTTTGGTTCTGTTTCTCTGGATAATCCTGACTAATAGAGACTTTGGTAAATTTTATTTCACAACCCAACCCACCTGCCACTCTCAATTCTAATTCTAGGTGGCTGTGTAGTGCACTAGCTGAGCCCTAAGGATTCATCCCAAGCTGAGGTGGTCCTCACAATGCCAGAGCACACCTATTGGCCTGCAGGGCATAAGAACTCTTGTCCTGAATCAGGTACCCAGGGCTTAAAAGCCCTCAGCAGCCACAGCTGAGTCTGTCTGTCTCTGGGTTCTGGGGGTGGTTTGAGGAGGAAGAAAAAATAGCAAGTCCACAAATGATGTCACTGGGCACCGCCCACGGGCCGCCATTCACCTGTGAAATCTGCCATTCACACACCAGTTTTCACATAGTGACAGAGGCAGTCGGAAGGAGACCATTCTAGGAGAGAAAGACCCACAGTGAACCCCTTGGACAGAAAGATGCCCGGGAGTCTGGAACTACTTTCCCCAGGCCCCATGATCTGAGGTAAGATTCAATTTCTGCCTTCTGGTTCCTCTTCCAGGAAACAAAGCATGAAACTGACCGGGGTCCGAGTTCCTTTCACGCACAAAAACTGTCCCAGACATCCTGGTCCTCGCTGTGTTTTCATTTCCTAATCTGCAAAACGGGTTGACGCCATCTGTCCGGCTATGGCCTGGCACAGAAGGATGGAGGCAGCCCATGTCCAGGAAAGATGGGCTCAGTCGGGTCGGGTCAGGCCAGCATGGGAGATGTTCATCTCAGCGTCTCCCTTTTATTTCAGATCCTCACTTTCCTAAACATCTAGACACACGGACGTCGTAAAGGACCACAGGGGAAGTGGGAGACACCGAGGTACAGGGGCTCACCAAGAGAAGCACCTGTCACTGCTTGTTATGAGTTACCAACTGCCCATATTTGTAGAGAAATTCTGAGTTCTGGCCCCCTGAGGCTCTGTGTAGTTCCCCAGCCCTGCTTGGCTTATACCTCCTCGGTAGCACTGACCGTGTCCCACGGTCACTTTATGGTCAAGAGTCCCTTTCCTGCTGCTGAAGGAGCTGGCTGAGGCTTGGGATGGTGTCTCGTCCCTGATACCTAGGCCTGAAGTATCACATAGGAAAAGTTTGCTGAAGGAAAAAAAAAAATCTCTCTCCGTTTCACAGACGAAGGGGTGGAATGGCTGAAGGCTGGCAGTGCCTGAGACCTCAGACCTGGGGGCCAGAAGAACCCACCGAGGCAGAAAAGCAATCCTTAGCAGAAAAACTTTGCCCTAAGTTGCCGGTGTCTTTGCTCTGCTTGCCTAACAAGTCTGAGGATAAACCAGCCCTTCATTCTTTCATCATGAGGATAACTGGTAGAAGTTATTGTATACATCTTTACCTACATTATCACATTTAAACGGCATCATTGCCCCATGAGGTGAGTGATGATTACTACCCTCCCCTTGCAGGAGGTTGCATGGGAATCCTTGCTTCCACATTCCCCAAGCTTCTGCCAGGTGTCAGGCTCCAGTTTCTACCAGGTTCTTGAGGAGGGAAGCCCCAGCACAGGGAGACCACAGCATTTCCTAGTCTAACATAATCTTGAAGTGTGCAGGTAAGTCAGTCAAACATTAACGTGGAGATCTGTGGGCTGAAGTTAGACACCTGGCAATCGAGCCCCAATTCCACACTTTAATAGCCCTGACCTTGTTGACTCAGCTGCAAAGGAAAACAAAATATAAAAGTTACTGCCTGAGCTGCCTCCTGAAATTGTCAGGGAGTCCCAACAAGGTGGAAAGAACCTTAATGGCCGGTGAGGTTGGCCAGGGTTCCTATCCTGCTCGTTAGCATCCAAGTGCACTGAAATTCCTTCCAGCAGCTCAGGTCTGACACGAAGGCTTTCATGGACTAAAAGGGTGACAGTCCAAATGCAAAAGCCACGTTGGCAACCGTGGTGTGGGTACAGCTGGACTAATCCTGGGAGGTTCTGGAACTAGAAAAGACTGAAATCGTTCCCTTTGGTGCTCACCCCCCAGACACACACAAAGCTGAAAGTTAGTGGAACAATAGAGGGCAGCGGCCCCCTGGATGCTTCAGTAACACTGCAGACCCTCATTTGGATGAGAAAACTCAGGTACAGAAAGAAAGGGCTTCATCACTGCTCAGGGGCTGATCCCCCAAGACCACCAGCCCTGACTGCAGTCTGGAGAGAGTCCACACGGTCCATGCTCCAGTCTGGGCAGGTGAGTGTCTGCATTCAGGTACACACTAGATAACAGGGCCACAATTCAAGATTATTTTAAACTGTTTGCCTGACTGGTGAATTATTATCATCCAGGCACAGAATAATTGATAAAAGATACAAAAATCAACTGCCCTCTAGATTCTCCTTTTGGACACTGTGTGAACAGCTCCCACGCTACATGGTACTGCGACAGGTGATCAGTGTTGTGGCTGAGCCCCACCTGGCCGTCGCACAAATGTGTGTCTGGGCAATGAAGACATCATCCGCAAGGTCTCCTTGGATGGATTATATTACTCCTGAGGAGATCATATCACTTTAGGGGAATGCTTACTGCAAAAAAGCAATTCCTTGAAACTGCCGGGAGAGGGCAGGTTCCCAAGAACGCACCAGCAAAGCAATCACTTGAGAGGCCCAGAGAGCTCCCAAGAACAGGGGCTGGGAATTGCTGGGTCTGAGCAGGCAGTGCTAGGTCCATCTGGAAGCCATCTCCTGGGACCAGCTGACTTAGTGGTCATTGAGCAATTTGTTCTGGGGCTTGTATGAAGTCACCCACGAGTGAAATAAATCCCACAGCCCTCCCTGATCTGTGTGGATCACATTCCACGGGGAGCTGGAAACGGAGCTGTAGAGGTCAAAGTGCTCCCTACTGACAGAAACAGAGAGAGACAAAGGTGCAGGCAGAGACTAAGAGAAAGAGAGGCTGAGAAAGACAAGACCAAGTCAAGAGAAAACTAGAAATGGACAGGTAGAGAGGCAAGCGGGTAGGGAGAGAGACAAAAAAGAAGAAGGGGGCTCCTTTTCTCATGTTCATTTCAGATCAGACTAAGATCCACCATCAAAGCCAACTCTGGGCTCCCAGGCTCCCTGTTGGAGGAGCTAACTCCCAAGCTGGGGACCACAGGTCTCTGCTGTATTCATTATGCATAAGATGCTCCACAGAAGGAAGCGTCCCCTGAGGGAAGCGCTGGAAGCTGCACTCAATGAATTAGTTTCCAGAGCCTTCTCAATGACTCCCTAGTACGAACAGAGAGCCAGCCTTGCCCAGAATGCCTGCATAGTTTATTGAAGTGGGGGGTGTACTCAAGCACCAGAAACCTGCCCAGGATCTTATCTGGGGCAGAAAGGCACACCCTGCCCAGCATGAGGCTTTCTGACCTACCCCACCGAGATCACCAGCCTCGAAGGGGAGACACCTTTGCAAAGTAATGTTCTCCAGAAGGGCTCTGTAGCAAATGAAAAATGACGTCACCCATGTATGTGCCTAATTTATTTAGACTGCATCAAATTAAATCCCACTTTTCTACGGGGGGGGGGGGGGGGGGGCGACCACCAGCCGCGGCTTTAAATAGATAAGAACAAGGCCGCAGCAGAGGAACAAAGGCAGGAAACTGGAGCTCCCTGCCTCGCTGGGCTGTAATTAGGTTAATGCTGGAACGTGATAAAAGTGTCCCAGTTGGCATGAGGGTCGGAAAAGGAGCCCTCCTGGGTGATGAGCCCTCCCTCCCGCCAACCTGTCCACAGCCAGGTGGCCCAGCCCACAGCACTCACCCTTCTTCCGGGCCTGGGCAATGACTTCAGCCGCGCTCTTGCTCATCACCTTGGTGATGTACAGAGGGCAGTTGGTCTGGTTGCCAATGGTGATGGAACGATTCACGGCTTCCGCCTCGACCTGCAGCAGAAGAGCGAAGTATAAGAATTCAGCCCACCCCAGAGCCCCCATCTTTATCCTCCACCCACCAAGACACTGACTGCTGTGTCCCCAAGGTTCTGCCCCAGGGGGCACCCAGTGTCAATCAAAATCGGAATGGTTGCAGGGATAGGGCCTTATTCCACAAGCTGACAACATCAGCATCAACCGGGTCCATAAGAAACCCAGTTTCCTGGCCTGGGGACCAGATTCCAAGACCTGAAGACCAGAACTCCAGGAGCAGGGCCCAGCCATGGGGGATACAACATGCTCAGGGACCATTACTCTTGCTAATGTTTGAAAACCACCACATCCAGGGAACTGGCTGATCTCTATTCAGTACATTGGTTCAGCAGCCAGTCTTGAGCCAAGACATTGAGTACTGTGACTCTGGACTGGGCTTCTGTCAAAAGCTCATGAATGAAACCAGCATCACCCCCAAAACAATGCACCCTCACAGGGCTCAGGACAGGGACAGGCAGCAGCAGCTGTGAGCACCAAGGGCCTCTGTGTGCACGCACCAACACGGCCGGCCAGCCGCTGCCTGGTACGCCCTTGAGTCCCAGAGGGGAGGACTGAGCTCATAAATTAACCCAGTATCCCCAAGTTGGCCAGGGGCTCAGGTTCCCCACTGGCTGTAACTGGTAAACCTGGCTCTGCACATCAGCTGCCTCAGTGGACAGTATTTTAAAGATCCCCTGTGAATACCCATCAGGGAAGACTCCCCAGATGCAGTTTATCTTCAGGGCAATCAGCTATGTGTGTCTAAAATGGCAGGTAAAGCTGTGTCAATGCAGCCTGGAGAGGTCACGGGCTCCTTCCAGCAACCTGTGGTGTGCACTCACCAAGGGGAGGGAAGGGGTGGCCTGCTCCTCCTTGCCCTGCCCCCAACTCTCCCAGTGTAGGCCTGGTTTGCAGCAGATGCTCAATAATGTTTGCTGCACAAATAAATGACTTCACTTTATTAAGAGTACTTAAAGCTGGGCATTCCTCAGAGCTGGTACTTTCCACCTGGAGTCGCTAACCCAGTATCCCCAAGTTGGCCTGGGGCTCAGGTTCCCCGCTGGCTGTAACTGGTAAACTAATGGCGAGAAATAAGACAGCTCCATTCACATGTGGCCGTCTGAGCACCACCTATGTGAAGAGGGCTGTCTGGAGGTCCACAGGCAGGGCAAATGGCTCTTGAACATGCTCATTAAACACCCAAATGTTTTTAATTCCTGGCATAGCTGGAGAAGGGACCCACCCTCCCTCTCCAGTGCTTCACAAGTCCCCAGAGTGAAGTATGAAGAGGGCTCTGCCTCAGTCCTCAGCACTTCCCAGGGATGCCAGAAGCTACCCAATTCAATGTCCCACACAGACACTTCTGACAGGGAAGAGGCACTATCAAGGATTCCCTAATGAGGCTTTTTGACCTACCCTACTGAGATCCCATTTGCAAAGTAACATTCCCCAGAAGGGCCAGCCCTGAACTAGCGTGTGCAATGGGTCTAATTAGGGGGACAAGGAGCCTTTAACCAGGGGCTCTACCCCTGTGGGACTGACTCCCACCAGGACCAGCCTTGGACAGAAGAATCCAGGTCCAGGGCTCTGTCTGGATCTGCATACCTGCTGTGTGCTATGTGCTGTGTGTGAAGTGAGCTGGTCCCACCCCTGCCCCAGCCAGCAAGAGGCTCAACTGAAACCTTCGCTCCTTGGAAGAGAAGTCAGTTAAACCCCACCTCTACCATGAGTTTTACCCTCCTTATGTGTGGGCTTCTGGTACATAATCATACACTGCTCCACACAATGCTGAACTCCGTGAAAACAGTAGGACAGTTTAAAAGTAAAATCTCTGCCTTGTTATAGGGCTCTCGGGGACTTGGGAAGTCATCTATTCCCACCTTCTGTGAGGGAAACAACCTATCCAGAGACACACACTGTCAGTACACCACCTGCTCATCAGCACTGGTCCCCTGGGCTCCTGGCAGATAGTGCATGACATTCTGTGAGGCCCCCCAGGGTCTCCTTGCTCCTAGCTCATCACGTTCTGTCCAATGCACTTGCTTCCTATCTGCCTAGCTCGTGAGTCCCTTCAGAAGGGACCATGTCTCTCTCATCTCTCTGCCCCGCAGAATCCTGCACAGCCCCAATCAGAACACCTGCTCAACAACGGAATATTACTCAGCCATAAAAGAGAATAAAATCATGGCATTTGCAGTTGGAGAAGAAATGCTAAGTGAAGTCAGCCAATCCCAAAAGAAAACAAATGGCGAATGTTTTCTCTGATATAAGGAGGCTGATTCATAGTGGGGTAGGGAGGGGGAGCATGGGAGGAATAGATGAACTCTAGATATGGCAGAGGGGTTGGAGGGGAGAGGAGGGGGCAGGGGATTAGCAAGGATGGTGGAATGTGACAAACATCATTATCCAAAGCACATATATGAAGACATGAATTGGTGTGAACACACTTTATATACAAACAGAGCTATAAAAAATTGTGTTATACACGTGTAATAAGAATTGTGATGCATTCTGTTGTCATGTATTTAAAAAATAAAAGCAATTTTAAAAATTAAATAAAAAAAAGAAAGAACACATGCTCAGTCACCTCTCGCCCATTACAGACAGTGATCTCCAGAATTCTCTCCAATCTTCTGAGCTAATGACCAGGGAAAACCCTACTGAGTGGTCCCACATGGTGTGTTGGGAAGAAAAGCATATGGCGGCAGGAAGGTGTTGGTAAGTTCAAACTCAGTTAACATCATGATGTGAGTGGTAGAAAGACCCTGAAACCGCATGGAAACTGGACTGTGGTATTAGCTGCTGCTTCCTATGTGTTGAGGGCTCTCCCCAATGGGAGGGGGTGCTCGGAGCCACTCAGAATGTTTCCATGTTTTATTCCCTTTACCGCCCACTCAGGGGGTAGCTCACAACAGACCCCTCTTGGCAAACTGACAAAGGGAGAGGAGGTGCAGCTGGGGTGAGCGTAGAGCTCTAACTCTACTGTGCCACTCCCTGTGACCCCTCCTCATCTCGAAGGACTGTCACAGGGTGAAATGACTCAGGGGAAACACCCCGGGCACAGAGCAGGTGCCTCCAAGTCAGATGAAAAGACATTCCCTGACTGGTGCATGCCCTGAGTTGTGTCTCCAGAGGAGCCTTCCCAACTAGCTGCTGGGGACTCCAGGGAAGCCTCCCACGCTGCACCCGGTACAACCAGAACAGCTTCCCCCCCGCCCGCAGCTCTCCTTCCCAGTAAACCCAGGCGGGCTGTCTTCCTGTTTGCTGTGGGACAGCCCTAAAGCTCTGCTTCAGTGGTCCTGCCCCTTTACAGCCCTCTGGTCAAGCATCTTCCTTCGCCTGTTTCTGGAAGAAAACTCCTAATTTCAAGCCTCCATCTGCCCAGGTCCTTGGCGGTTGCTCTTCCTCCTCCACACCTTCTGTTTTTCCACCAGTTCTTTCTGTAGAACATCTGTTTCTTTCTTTCTGAGAACATCTGTTCAGACTCCCTCATTGTTCTCTTGGCTCAGAGCTGCCAAACTCGGCCTTAGCCAGGTCTGCCACAGCTTGACCTTGACCAAAATCTGAAAAGCATTTAAAGGCCAAAAATTCTACTTGGGAAGAAGAGATTGTCCGTCATCTACACCTACACGATTGTGAGCCCCCTTCCTGTTCATAATCGTGACTCACTCATCCCAGCCAGGGCCCTGATTCTCGGCTGTGGCGCCAAACAGGATCCTGCTCTAAATTTTCCTTCCCCAATTTTAAGGGTCTGTCCACCAAACTCTGCTGATCATGTTGTACTCTGTGCAGGCTTACCACGGAAAAGCTTACTACCCCCCAGAGACACAGAAGAGCTTTGTGATCTGCATTCCTGTTTTGGTAACTGGCTGCTGGTTATAAACTACTAGGCGACAGGAAGATAATCAAGAGCTTCCCAAGGAAGGGCTTGGAAAACCAGAGAGGAGTACTCAGGCCACACAATCCCACGCTCTACCTCTGGGCTCTGTGTAACACTTCATTTTGCCTGTATAGACATACAACGCACGCGTGCACACACATGTGACCCATAGCTTCTCAGAGAGACCAGTCTGCACGAGAAAAGCCCCGTTCTCAACAGGCACGAAGTAGACTCTGCATGCTCTGCACAGCACCCAAGGGACCTCAAGTCCCGTATCCCATCTGGGGGTGTTCACCTCCTCAGGCCGGCTCAGCACGTGCCCCTCAGGGCCTGTGATGCCCAGATCCAGGATCCTCTGCTGTTCCTGAAAAGTGTAAAGAAAGCCAGGTGGTCAGGAAGCTGGCCTTCAGGTCTGACCAGCAGAGACCTGGGACCAGGGTTACCCGAGCAAGATGTGAAATTGGCTCTGCTGATCACTCTGCCCTCGTCCCAAGACCTTATAAAGAAAAAGGTTCACTGCCCTATACCCTGGCCTGTCTGACCAGCCTCTTCAAACCTCTCAGCCTTCCCCTGGGAGGCTGAGAGCAATATGCTCCTGGTCCTCAGCCTCAGCCACAGTGTAAGATGCCCAGGCGTGACCAGGGAGCTTCCGAACCCCACCCAAGGCAGCTGCACTATGGTTCCAAGGGAAACAGCCTCCTTGAAAGAGGGACTGGCTAGCGGGATGCTCATGCCTACAGGGAGACTGCAGCGGAGTCCAGCCCAGGAACACCAGGCCCTCTGATCTCCCTCCGTGGTGTTCAGCTACCCAAGTCACCCTCCAGGAGATGCAGAAATGATGCAAAAAAAAGCCCCCTACCTCTGCAATGATGTCACCGTTTTCCGCGTGGACTTGGGCTATGGCACCAATATCCCGGATCACACTCAGTACTTCATAAATCTGAGAGAGAGGAAGGTGGGATCAGTCAAGGACTCCGCAATTTACAAAGCAGCACAAACCAAAAGGACACGGATGAGAGTGAGAAGCCCAGGGCTAAAGCACTGGGCTCACATTCTCCCCAAAGGCTGAATAACATTCGTAAATGACTCCACCAGCCAAGCCCCACAAAGCTAAGGGATGTACGTATACTGGAGAATGCTTTCCCAGGGGGCAGCAGTGGCCACATGCCCACAAGCCCATTCAGAAGAGCTGACGCTTACCTGGGAATCCGTTAGCTGGAAGCGATCTTTGAAAGCCATGTACACGAGGAAGGAGTTGACCCCTGGTGACAGACAAAATAGAGAGGGAGACGTGACTTTTAATTCACAAACCCAAACCAAATAATCAGAAAGGGAATGAGAAAGTGATGCTACCACACGTGTGTGTGTGTGTGTGTGTGTGTGTGTGTGTGTGTGGGAGAGAGAGAGAGAGAGAGAGAGAGAGAGAGGAGAAAGGAAAAGAGACAGAGATGGAGATACAGAGAGAATGATAAAGCATAAAGCAAACAGGGTAAAACATAAACAACCAATGAATTCTGGGGACAGGGTTCATGAGAATTCCTTTGAGTAGTCTTACAGTTGTTCAGGAGCTTTAAAATGATATCAAAATGAAAAGCTGAAGTGGTATACACCCATGTTCATAGCAGCCCAAGTGGCCATCGATGGATGATGAGATAAAATCTGGCCTATACATGCAGCAGAATTTCACTGAGCCTTAAAAAGGACATTCTGACACCTTCAATAAGACAAATACCACGTGATCCACTCCTGTGAGGGGCCTGGAGAGACAGGAAGTGGAACGGGGCTGGCTGCCTGGGGCTGCAGACAAGGGCACGTGGAGATGCATTGTCTAATGTGCAGAGTTTCAGTGTAGCAGGAGGAAGGGTTCTGGAGATGGATGTGCTTAATGCCACTCTCCTGGACAGATGGTTAGAAGGGTGAGTTCTGGGTTGTGTGTATTTTACCACAGTTCCTATTTTTTTTTTTAAGCTGCCCCCAACACAAGTCTGTCGTGCCTTTAACAAGAAAATGAATTAGAAGTTTCTGTCTGTGAAGATCAGTACCAAATGTCTTCTCTTTGGCAAGCAGACTGTACTCCTTGCCGATTTTTAAGAAACTCTTTTTTAAATAAAAAAAGTTCATTGGCTCAACAAGCAGACATCCCAGGCCCATCCTTTCGTCTCGGAGTTCTTGCTTCCCTGCCTCCCGAGGCACCAGACCAAACATCCCTGCCCAACATCCATCACAATGTTAAACAATCGTCCTGACAACCTCCTCTCCTAGGAGCTTAATTCAAGCCACCTGGGGTGCTGGGCGCTGCCTGAGTTAAATGCTCCTGGACATCCTGGCCCTTCTCTCCTTGCTAGGCAACAGTTGTCATGGTAACTCTCAGGCCTGGTTTAAAGTAGATTCACTCTAAATATTGAAAGTTAAATCCATTGGAGTCTGGTTATGCTCAAATGTGAAGAAGGTCAAAGGTTACCCACTTTCTTGTTTGTGGAATCTTCAGGCTGGAAAGAAACATCACAGTGCAGTATGCTCATGTGGGAGATTTTTTTTTTTTTTTTAAAGGGAGAACCATAAACTTTAAGCAATTTGCCCAAGGTCACACAGCTAGCCTGTGGAAGGGCAAAGAAATAAGGCTGAGGTTCTAGCTCTCCATCCTGAAGATTCTGCACCACATCTGTGGCTGCCCCCACCCCCACCCCATCCACATCCACACCCATGCCCAGGTTTCCCTCCTGCTGTGGATCACAGCACACAGCACGCCTGAGCCTGGAAGTCCCCTACATGCATGATGCTTTCCTGAAGGTCAAGACCCAGTGAGGTCAACAAGTGGCCCCAGAAACCCAGTCCACAGCCAAGTTCAAGAAGACCCGGAAACACCAGGTGGTTTGACTTCCCCACCAAACCCCTGAGCCCCCAGGCTCCTGTGAACCGGAGTCCTGGAGACACCTGAAGGTGGATTCCTCCCGCCTCCCAGTGAATCTCTCCCCCTGGAAATTGTGAAACAGAAAAGACCACTTAGGTGTGAGGTGTCCCCTTACTCTCACATTGACCCTGGACTCCAAGGCTGCACAACACTCACGGCTCAGGTACACCCTGACTGCCCAGCAGCCTCACGGGGCTCATACAATGCTCACCACATCCCCAACTCCCAGCCTGGCTAGAGAGCAAGGGTCCTTGAGACCAGCAAGCTATAGGCAGCTGTCATCCAAAAACAGGCCTGTAGCAGGGCTCACATTCTCTACCAACCATGACGCAGGGCGTTAGGCCCTCCAGTGAGCACAGGCTGCTGCCCAAAGCCCGCTCTCCTTGCTCAGGGCCAGGCACCAGCAAAAAGCACAACTGGGATCCAGAGGCAGTACCCAGAGCATTTCCCCAGGGCCCTGCCAACGCCTGGATGGAAACGCAGCCATCAGCAGCGGGTGTCAGGGCAGCACCACCTACCGTGGTCCTTCACCAGCGCCTCCATCTCCTCCTGGATGCCCTTATGCCACTCGGTGATGTCCACGTGCAGAGAGTAGTCACAGCAGGACTTGCTGTCGGCCCATTCCCTCCACTGGTCGAAGGCGGCCAGCAGGCTCGTCCCAGGCTCGGGAACAACGTGGTCAACTAGGAGAGAAGAGACACGCGTCGTCATCTTCAAGAAACTCACAGGCCACGGCTGGCAGGTGTTTTCCCACTTGACCCCTGAACAGGGTTTCTTGGGTTCGTCAGCCCCTAAGAATGCTCTGAAGCCAGCTGAGGAGGGGACGAAGGAGAAACCTGTCCTTGGATGCTCCGGGGAAACCACACGTGAACTGCCCAGATCTGATTTCCCAGCTCCAAGTCCCTAACCCGGGGGCACGTTTTGTGGACAATGTGTCCTTATGAACAATGGCAGTGTCAAATGACCGGCCAGAGGAGCCAGAACTTCTTTGTGCTGATAGCTGCCAGGAGACGCCCCCACCAGACAGCTAGGCACTGGGGGGACTGGAGCACAGCCACACACACCGGACCTTTCCAGAGTGCCCAGGCTCAGCCACTCTCCCGTGGCCACTCATGTTTCTGCAGCATAATACCAGTCTGTAATTTAAGGGAGATCTTTCATCTTAAGAGTTCAAAGCATTCTAAAACGGTGGCTGCTGTGATATTATTATGGAGGTAGGCTGACCCGGAGGACAAAGGACCATGGGCTCAGGCTACCTGGAGTCTGTTTCCTGGCTCCCCTTCAAGGTACCCTTGGGTAAACTACTTAATCTCCATGGTCCTAAATGTCTTGCTGGTTTAAAATGGGGGACAATATTACCCAGCACAGACATTTATCATGGGGATTAAATGAGAAGCGTAGCTATCACCCTTATTGAGCTCCCTGATGTAAACCCTCCAACAGTGTCCCCTTGCACTTCATTTGAAGGTTGGAATCCCAGGCAACCTCCACACATGATCCTAGATCAGCCCCACCTTGCATTCTGCTCTCCAGCGCCAAAGGCTGTTTTGGGGGTGCTGCACCCCCAGCCTGTCCTCCCACCACAGGGCGCTTGCAGGTGCCATTCTCTCTCCTAGGCCTCGGGGAGCTCTCACCCAGCCACTGTGATGACAGGCTTCCTAGACTACTGTCACCCATCTTTATAGGAAGCACTTCAGAAATACAAAGCAAAAGGATTTGTCCAAGGTTGAATCAAACTTGGGCAACAAGAAAGATGAAGCCCAGGATTCCAGATGCCTAAAGCAATGAGGCATTCTTCCTAAATAAAATATTAGATGTTCTGCACCCAGGTAAGCAGTTCTGAGCTAAGAAAATGCCAGCCTTGGCAACACGGTGAGCTCAGGTTTCTGAAATGAATCAAACCTTGCAGATGCTGCTAAACTGGGATCCCCTGAGCTTGGCTTTATATATGTCAGGGATATGGCCGTCGGACAGACTGACTACCCTGATCAGAACAGTATAAACTGTATGTATGCACTAAATGTCCCACTGCACCATATAAAAATGCATGCAGTTACTATGTGTCAATTAAAATTTTTTAAAATATGGCCCACTGTGGTAAATTTCTTTGGATAGAATCCACTTTTTCACAAATATTTGCAAGTATTAGTATAAAATATAAGCATATGTCTATGTAATCGATCAGACCTGATATCTGTAATACACTAACATTATCTAAAAAAGTAAAATCGATGCACATTGTAAATGCAATTCTCTCCCTTGGTAAAATGTTACCAGAAATTATGACAAAACAATTCTAATTTTTCTTCTTAAATTGTGCCCCTGACTCCATCCTCACAAAAAAAAAAAAAAAAAACAGAAAAACCTCAGCAACAATCAGTTTGGACAGTCTCCAGGGTCACTCCCCTGCTTCACCTCTCGCCCTCCTCCAAACCTCCCTCCTAAGCAGCCAAGTGAGTTTTCTAAAACCTTTACTCAGCTGCTGCCAGTCACCTGCTTCAATCCTTCAGGGGCCATCCTCCATCTGCAGAGTCAAATTCAGACTCCTTCCCCAGGTCCAGTGGGTCTGGGCCCAGCTAATATCCCCAATGCACTCTGTCCCCTACCTGCTCACGGCCATGGCCACCCTGACAGCTTGTCACTTCTTTGGGCCACCCAGCACCTGCCCATCCCAGATGCCCCTTCTCTGGAAATCCACTGTCCTTGTTCCTCATCCTTCTCATCGGGTCTGTCACCATCCCACGGGGACACCACGATTTGAAATAGTTTCCATACAAGCATCACTAATAATTTGCTGTCTGACCACGCCCCCACTAGGACATAAATTCCTCAGAGCAGGGACGGAGAGTCGGGACACAGGAAGAGCTCAATAAATGATCTAAGTAAATAAAAGAATGTTGCCTCTCAGCTCTCACGTTCCGCCACACAGGATCAGGTGAAGCAGCCAGAGTTAGAGTCACCCCTTGGTATTAGGAGGCAAAGTCTTGCCCATGCCAAAATCCACAGACCTCAGGTCCCTTATGTAAAATGGCATAGCATTTGCATATGAACCATTCAAATCCTTGAGTGTCCCCTTCCTTCCTTCCTTCCTTCCTTCCTTCCTTCCTTTTTCTTTATTGTGCTTGGGATCAAATCCAGGGCCCCCAAGCAGGCCCCCTACCACTAGCTAAATCCCACATACTTTATATCATCTCTAGATTATTCATAATACCTAGAGGGATGCCTGCATGCCTCCGTTGGAGCGGATTCAGTGGATTCAGCATTACTAAATGCTTTGAAGCACATTTCAGTTTTGCTTTTTGGAACTTTCTGGAATGTTTTTTCCAAACATTTTCGACCTGTAGTTGGTTGAACCCACAGTGGGTTGATTCACAGATGCAGTGTGTGTGGATATGAAGAGACATCTGTACTGTCCTAGAGCCCGACAGCTTTTCCTGCTCATGCCCCAGAGCTGCTGTGAAGCCCAGAGGGCCCCTGCACAGCCATGCTGCCTGCCAATCAGAGGGCCGTCTTCCACTGGTGGCAGGGGATGAGGGAGAAACTTGTTTTCTTGGGATAGATGGAGAGATGTCCAGGGCTTGCCAAGCTCGTGTAAGGCCTGGGTTCAATCCTCAGTACTGAACAAAGAAAGAGGAAAGATTGCTTGAAAAAGAAAAAAAAGGTTTTAGGGCTCGGGATGTGGCTCAGTGGTAGAGCCCTTGCTAGTATATATGAGGCCCTGGGTTCATTTCCCAGTGCTGCAGAAAAATAAATAAATAAAAGTGATTTTTCTGATGATACAATCTTAAGTAGAAAATCTCAAATTTTAGGCAAAGTTAATATCACATCTAATCCAATCACCACCACCACCACCCTGCCAAAAACCAGCCTACTCGAGTTTGGTATATTTCCTCTATACCTTTTCTCTACAGATTATATTTTTATTCTATTTTTTTATTTATAGTTCGTCTCTTTTCAAAAATTTTTAAAATGAAAGATAATTATAAGAAGACTTGATTAAAGCAGAAATAGGAATAAAAGATGATATAGGAGGAAAAAAATAATGGTGGACATAAAATGAAACCAAGAACGAGGCCTGTCTGTATGGCGCGCGCGTGCGTGTGTGTACTAAACACTTGTGTTTGTAGGTAGATGTATTTGCATGTGTGTACAGATAAATAACATTTGTCCTACACATGGCTGGATTTAAGGTCAGGCCTTCTAGCCAAAGTAAACAAGGAAGCCTGATATGTTCAGCAGATCTGTTTCCTTTGGGATTAAAAGAACCCACCCCTCTCGGGAGAAGGGCAAACACTGCCAAGGCCAAGATCCACAAGCTCACAGCTAGAGAATGATCCTTTCTGCTCTATTGCTCTCCGATGACTTTTAAAAATACTTTAATGTTAGTACTGTTAGATAAAGCATTTGATAATATTTTTAATTTGCACATACATTACAGAGAAATAAGACAGTTCTGACCCTGGGTTATTTTTCTTTTGTTCCCTTTGTCACTGTTGGTATTAAATGAGCAGCAGCTTCTTTTTCAGTTGTCCATGGACCTTTATTTTTTATATTTATGTGGTGCTGAGCACAGTAGCCTCACACATGCCAGGCAAGTGCTCCACCACTGAGCCACCACCCCAGCCTTTAGAGCAGCTTCTTGATACCACAAACCTGGTGGTAAATGTTCCAATTCATTCCTCTTTCTTTCTTTCTCTCTGTTTTTTTCCCTTTTTTTGGAACCCAGGGCAATTCTAGGCAAGCCTCTACCAGTGAGCTGCACCCCCAGGTCTTGAATTTTTAGGAGAAAAAATATTATCTTTCAAAAGCTCAGTTCCTCCATCAGCTTCGCTTCCCTCCCTTAACCTGGGAACTCTGGGAAGCCCTGTGAGCATTCCCACTCCACGCCCTAGAGCAAGCACTCTCCCCCTCCCTAGCCCACACAGTGGGAGGTGTCTGCAGAGGACACCCTCAGACCAGTGACAGCCCACAACCCCAGGTGCCCCAGGGGTGGCAGATCACTTGTGTCACGGTCCTCATGCCCCGTGGAGCTCACAAGAACAACCTTGAGAGCTTATTAAAACCCAGTGTGGGCCTCACCCAGAGCTCTGAGGCTAGGTGCAGGCTGGGACCTGGTGATCTGCATTTCTAGTGAGCACCCAGATCTGCTGAGGACCACTCTGACAACAGCCAATTAGAGCACAGTTTCCCATTTGTTTCCGGCCCTCTCCCTGCATTCACCAGCAGGACCTGTGGGCTCCTCAACAGTATCATGAGAACAAGCATCGGGCTCCCTGGCTGCAGTCCACAGCTGCCCTCCACGCTGGGCATGCAGAACTGGCTTGGGAGCCAGTGCCTAGCGCTGGGGACCCTTGAAAACTCAGCTCCAGAAGAAGCCGAGTACTTCAGGGAAATACTCGGGCTTCCTCCAAGACCTAGCGAGGCTGAGAAGCCCCTGAGGAGCTGCATGGGTTTTCCCACAGTCCTCTTCCCAACCGAGCTCTCCTGGGAAGAGCTCCTCTAAGGGAACAGGACAGAAGGTCATGCTCACTTCCGGAGGCAGCGGAGTCCCTGTTCGGATGCAAGCTGGAAAGACTTGCCCGGAACTCACAGGCCTTTCCTCTGGGGACCTTCCTATGCCATCCGCCCTTGCAAGAGGGAGCACTCAGCCACCAGCCAGACACCAGCCAGCCACCAGCAGTGA